CACATAAACGCATACACAAAACCACATGGACTTCACCGGATCACTCTACACAAAACCAAATTGACCATATTTGCATCAACAAATCGTTCAAGAGGACTATAGAAGACGTGAGAACCAAGAGAGGAGCTGATATAGCCTCAGATCATTACTTGCTGGTCGCCAAGATGAAATTGAAACTCAAGAAACACTAGACAATGGGGCGGACAATATCACAAAAGTTCAATACGGCCTTTCTTCAGGATACTAACAAACTCAACAAATTCAAGATAGTCCTCAGCAACAAGTCCCAGGCCTTTCATCATCTACTCAATGGAGAAGGAAGTACTGTGGAGAGCAACTGGAAGGGGATCAAAGAGGCAACCACTTCAACATGCCATGAGGTCTTGGGTCACAAGAAGCACCATCACAAGGAATGGATCACTGTTGATACACTGGATAAGATTCAAGAAAGGAGGAACAAGAAGGCAGCAATCAATACCAGCCGAACAAGAGCAGAAAAATTCAAGGCACAAGCTGAATACACAGAAGTAACCAAACAAGTGAAGAGGAGCATCAGGACCGACAAACGTAAATATGTGGAAGATTTATCAATGACGGCGGAAAAGGCTGCAAGAGAAGGAAAATGAGACAATTGTATGACATAACAAAGAAACTCTCTGGAAATCGCCGCAAACCAGAACGACCAGTGAAAAGCAAGGATGGCGAGGTAATCACCAACATTGAGGAGGAACAAAACAGGTGGGTAGAACACTTCAAAGAGCTCTTGAATCGACCAGATCCACTGAACCCACCCAACATCGAAGTAGCACCCACGGACCTCCCAATCAATGTTGGCCCACCAACAATTGAAGAAATCAGCATGGCCATCAGACAAATCAAGAGTGGCAAAGCAGCAGGACCAGACAACGTTCCAGCAGAGGCACTGAAAGCAGACGTAGCGACAAGTGCAAGGATACTCCACATTCTCTTCAATAAGATTTGGGATGAGGAACAAGTAACAAAAGACTGGAAAGAAGGACTCCTGATCAAAATACCGAAGAAAGGCGATCTCAGCAAGTGTGATAACTACAGCGGTATCACTCTTCTTTCAATTTCGGGAAAAGTCTTCAACAGAGTATTGTTAAACAGGATGAAGGACTGCGTAGACGCCCAACTTCGTGACCAACAGGCACGATTCCGTAAGGATAGATCGTGTACAGACCAAATAGCAACTCTACGGATCATTGTGGATCAGTCAATTGAATGGAATTCATCACTCTACATCAACTTCATTGACTACGAAAAGGCATTTGATAGCGTGGACAGGACAACACTATGGAAACGTCTTCGATACTACGGCGTGCCTCAGAAGATAGTCAATATCATACAGAGTTCATATGATGGATTAAACTGCAAGATCGTGCATGGAGCAGAGTTGACAAAGTCATTCGAAGTAAAGACCGGTGTTAGGCAAGGTTACTTACTCTCACCCTTTCTCTTTCTATTGGTGATCGACTGGATCATGAAGATGTCAACATCTGAAGGGAAGCACGGGATACAATGGACATCTAGGATGCAGTTGGACGATCTGCACTTCGTGGATGATCTGGCCCTTCTATCCCAAATGCAACAACAAATGCAGGAGAAGACGAACAGTGTAGCAGCAGCCTCAGCAGCAGTAGGTCTCAATATACACAAAGGGAAGAGCAAGGTTCTTCGATACAACACAGCATGCACCGATCCAATCACAATTGACAGAGAAGATTTGGAAGATGTAAAAACCTTTACATATTCGGGCAGCATCATTGATGAACATGGTTGATCCGATGCAGATGTGAAGATGCGGATCGGTAAAGCAAGAGCAGCATATTTACAACTGAGGAACATCCGGAACTCAAAACAACTGCTAACCAACACCAATGTCAGGATTTTCAATAGAAATGTCAAGACAGTTCTACTGTATGGGGCGGAAACCTGGAGAACTACAAAAACCATCGTCCAGAAGATACAGGTGTTTATTAACAGTTGTCTACGCAAAATACTTCAGATTCGTTGGCCGGACGGTATTAACAACAACGTACTGTGGGAGAGAACAAACCAGATCCCAGCGGGGGAAGAAATCAGGAAGAAGCGCTGGAAGTGGATAGGACACACATTGAGGAAAGCACACGACTGCGTCACAAGACAAGCCCTCACATGGAATCCTCAAGGCCAAAGGAAAAGAGGAAGACCAAAGAACACATTACGCCGAGAAATGGAAATAGACATGAAAAAGATGAACAAGAATTGGATGGAATTAGAAAAGGAGGCCCAGGACAGAGTGGGTTAAAGAATGCTGGTCGGTGGCCTATGCTCCAATGGGATTAACAGGCGTAAGTAAGTAAGTAAGTAATTTTCAATGATGTACCCCGCTCCAAGCCTGGCCACTTTTATGGATCATTAATTGTGATATATAGTTGTAGAACCTAATGAAAAATTATCGAAAAGAATATTCTTGGTTCATATGATTTTATTTTAATGACAATGCTGTTTAACAACGTTCTTCACGGTGATTTTTAGTGTTCATAACGTTACAGCTGACCTATATGATCTTCTTTCAGTAACTAACTTGACAACGACCCCGAATTCCTGAATCCACTCACATTTTTTCACTTTACTCCTGAAATGATGAACAATTACGTATTATAACAATTAAAGGCCTTGAGATGTCAAATGTATGCGTTGATGAGTATCGCGTGAATGATACATGATGATTGTTCTTTTAATTCAATGCCATTACGTCTATCATTTACCCATGCTACAATGCATTTTCTTCGTCACCAAAGCCAGTCTCTTATCATTTACATTTAAGTCTGTAAATTTCTTTGTTGATTTACAAATCTTATCGAGCATTGCATTTCCTGTTCAATTATTCATTTACGTAGTTTTTAATTTTTGAGCAATGGCTGACCAATCACTTAACTAGAAACGCAAAAAATGTAGGGTATGGTTACACTTCTGATCAGGGACACAATCGTTCAATCGGACTCAAAATATACCAGACGGATAAGGTGCATTCATTTGCTGTAAAAGTAACTTTGAACCGTAGATGCATTCGAACCATTTTGCTCATGTTAGGTTGTCAATAATACATTACAGATGCCCAGTGTTTGACAACACTTCTGTGTGAAGTATCTCGTAAAACAGTCATAGGCCTGATGAAACTAGAATTATTAGGTGTTGTGAGACGAAGATACATTTAAATAAAGGAATGTAAGCCATCTAGTTGTTGAATCAGATGAGCGGAACATATCAAAAAAATTTCACGGGTTAATGTTTACGTGAGCTGAAATTGTATTTAGAAAAATTATTAGGCTGAACACCAATTCATTTCAGCTATTAGTTTTCCAGGGTCGAAATATTGGACATTGGATGGTGCTCGCTATTAACAATATTTGAACTGTGACGTAACTCATTCGGAACTTTAGAATGTCAACTTGTTTTGATCGTTAGATTATCCTGTCCGCACGTTTGTGTTACTTCCAATTGTTGCCGATTCTCTTCTCCTCACATTACACTAGCACACAAACTACTTCCAGACTAAATGTAAACTTGTAGAAGACTGTATATTTTAGTTCTTTAACTATTTTTAGGATCATGTTAATACTTCGAGCCGTTGTTTTCCTGATCTAGAGCCTTTTCACCTCCGAGTTCTTATCGTAGTTATGATTTCAACTAATGGAACCACATGGTCTGAAGACCGTTCTCCAAGCACTCATTTACGTGGAAATAACCCATGCAACCAATAAAGGGGAAATAAAGAGGAAATGTCGCTTTTTTGCCTTCACGTCAGTTATTTGGGGGAAATTTGTCGACAATTATACGTTACGCGGTATACAGGTTTTCAAACCGAGTCATCAACACTTGGAATCTGCTGCCCGAAGTAGTTGTGTCCGCACCTTCAATTGACTCGTTCAAGAGGAGACTGGACACTCACAGTAGCATACTAGAAAAGGAATAACGTAGGCCGTAGGCCTATTGTCCTTGCTACACAAATCTGAATTTGTTTGCATATGCCGCATCCCGTACCGATGTTTTCATAAACGTCGATAAAATAAGGCACCACTTAATAAAAAAGTAAAACTATTGTCATAAACACTGGTAAAAAAAAATACGGACACAGAGATTTGGCTGAGACGCATATACACTGACTTCGTTTTTTGTTTAGCTAAAGTGTAGGCGTAGTGGGCGTCATAAATAGCTAACGTGATGCAGTTTAAAAACTTAGACCTTAAATGCCACACATTAGTTAAAGTCCTCACGGTTTTTTATTCACAGTCAGACCTGATTTACGTTTACGACCAAACGTGCAAGGAAACACTACGAACAGGTATTTATATCTTACATCCTTCAACAATCTACTCTCCACGTGAACATAGTGTGTATGGATTATCTGAGAAAACATAGATTTATTCTACCATACTTTATGGAAATCCTTTAGCGCATTATAACATTCAATCCAGCTTCCGAATCCCTTGTTCAGCATAATACGTTGGGACACGTCGCTTACGTCCACTGAAATTTCACTTGAGCATGAAGCACTACAGAAAACAAGCATTAGTTATTAAAAAAAAGGTTATTCATTGAAAAAAAACTGAAAGAAGAACAAAGAATATTTAGGACTTACCCTTAAGTTCACATTTCGTCTTAACTCACAAAAATTATGCGTATCTATAACTTTTCACGTTATCTTATCTTTCTTATCTTGTTTTCTGGACCTTATCAAAAAATTATATAAAGATGTTGACGTTCACTACAGCAGTTAGGACCACAGATCAAGTTAAGAAAGAACAACAGAGCTAAAGTGTGCACTACAAAACAGAAAATGCTCGATTAATGCTTTTAGCAGTTATTTCATGTTTATTATGCATCAAACGATGACTTATATATGGAAAGACTTAATACTCATTGGACCCAACACACCCACGGCAATTGAAATTCGGAATGCCCGCTTCTAGTCAGCGTTTTCAAGGTCTTTGAAACGAAAGCGGCGGACAGATTTGAACGGGATAGCTAGGTGAGTGACGTGGTCTCCGTTTTTTCATTTTCACTACAACTCATTACCGTGTTAGTTCAATACTATGAGTTCAGTTGAAGTCAGTGAGAGAGCTCGTAGACGTAGGGCTACTATTAACTTGTCAAGCGTCCTTTCCAACCAATCAACAAAGGAGAAATAAAGGCGAAGAAAGGGGAAAGTGCGTTGGAAACTAAAGGAGAAACGCGTCAAAATGTCTGCTTTTCCGCCTGTCCGGGGGGTAATAATGTGGATTTCCCCCTTTTTGTCGCTCTGTCAGTGAAATTGTCTACTTTTCGTGTAAATATCCACTGAAGTCAGCAAAAGTAGATAATTAATTATCTACTTTTGCTACAAATTTTAAAACACCATTGGCATAACCATAGCCTTTATCCCCACAACAAATCACGCGAAAAATGGTTTGTGATTAAATAAATTTACTGAAAACAAAAAGCGTATTGTTGTACAATATTATAGACGCTTAAGCATCAATCGTTATGCATTTTCATAGTAATTGCTAATTCGTTTAAAGATCCCCGTCATATTAAAAGACTAGTATTTGAACGAAGAATATTCTTTTCGATAAATTCTCTTCAGGTTCTACAATTATATATCCAAATTAATAATTCGAAAAAATGGCCAGGTTAAGGGCAAAGTACATCGTTTAGAGCATGTGAATTTAGGATTGTGATAAACAAAATACGATAAAATTGTTGATGTTAATATGACTCATATAGAATGTAAACTTGAATCAGCTTATATGTTAAGTAAAATTAATTGCTAATTCGTTGTTATTTGAAAAGATCTTCAAGGGAAGAAACAGGTGATGTATTATTAATAAGGCATGTGTACTTAATCGCAAGTTCACTGAAAATTAATCACACTTTCTCAGCACTTAAATAGTTTCCAGTGTAAGTAAGAAAGTAAGCTCATTTACAAAATGATTTTTATTGAAAACTAAGTAGAACATAGAAAAACATTTCTTAAGCCACACATGCTCGGCTATTGATAATCAAAAGTCTTCCTGTGAATTCTGAAGTGTAAAGAACGAGATATCTGGATGACATGCTTTGGCAGAGCCAGATACTTGAAGCTTCACTTACGGTTATGTTAGTTAACACTGTTGACTGTAACTATATAGCAGTAGGGAAGTTATCACTTTAAATTGGGACATACCTGTTCTTGTTAATCCTATTACGCTTTATCAATTTGTCTCGGACGTCGTGGAAAAAACCTTGTGTCGCTATATCGTACAGCTTCGCAAGGTCTTTTTCTTTGACAGCATCTGCAGTTCCTCTTCAGATGACAAAGGGAACTGCCAACTTGATAGTCCGCAGTCGAATTGATGCAGATGTTCGCGTTCATTGAACTTTGCTAGTAGCAGCTTTACATTTGTACTCATGTCAGTAGTAGCTGAAGACATGTTCTGCATCATTGTATACCACCTATCAAGTCTGAAAAACTTCACTTGATCGTACAGTTGACTTACTGGGCCACTGAAGCACAGCCTACATGCTTAGATTCTAATGTTGAAGGTGATGTATCTAATAGTGTCGAAGTAGTTCACTAACATCTAAATAGTAATGAAGCGTACTTGGCAATTGGCGACGCGACTCTGTCGAACAACCGAAATTTTGGATATTGTACGTGGCTATTACCAGTCTTAATCTCGACAACATCGACGTCTACTGAATTGTAAAGTAATCCTTCTTTACGCTTCAATGCACCTCTAGGAAATGTTAGTAAGAATATTGTATTGACCTCTTGGGCTTTACAATGGCAAGGTGTTATCTCCCATTGAAGTGTTTTTATGATGAAGTTCCAGTATTTGGAGGGATAGTAACGTATCCTTTGCAGACTGCAGAGAATCTATAGTAAATTATAGTATCTATGTTTGTTACTCACCGAATTCGTTAATGACTTTACATTTCATAACTGACCAATTGTCATCTGGTCGGTTGCAGTTTTGTAGGTGGATATCGACCAGCTCCGTTGGAAAAAGGCAAAGTTCTTTGCCAACAATCCATTGCTTGGCTGCAATCATAAGTTGTTTCTTGCTAGGAACGTCAACAATGACATGTTGTTTGCTATCGGGCTTAACATAACATAAGAGGTAAGGAAATGGTTTATTATCATGAATTAAGCACAAATGAAACAAAATACATTTACATTAAAGTATGCAACAATGGAACTATAACTAAATAATTGATACAAGTAATGGCTATACATTTACAGTCAATGTCCTTAAACGATACCCATGTGTGTTCATGGCTAACTACGGAGCACATAAATATTTTTATATCACTAGATGAAAAGGATATTCGAAGTAATTGCGTGTGTTAGTGAAAGACCTAAATTTCAGTTGTTCATTCTCCCCTATATCAGTGGCTAAGCCAGGCTTTCCGTTTACTACGATAACATTTTCAGGTTTAAATGAAGTTATTTTACTATTCTTAAACATAATTACTTGTTTATTTGAGACCTCCTTAGCGGCTATTGGGGTAGTATTAATTAAACAGCTAACTTGAAGCCTATCGCAGAAGGGCATTTTCTCCGCATGACGCCGAGCTGCTTGTTTAGCAACAGCATACCCGCTATGCACAGATTTCTTTGTTTGTCTCATGTAGGACTCGAATGGAAAGGCTGAAAAACAATCTAAAGGTCCATTTGCACGAACGTCGTCAGGAAGGTGCTGTAACAAATGCATATTTTAAACTAAGTTTTCCGACCCATTTTATTTATTTATTTGAACACATAAATATTGCTACAAGAGTGCGCCAAATATATATGCGCCCATAACACCATTCGTATTCCTTAAGAAAGATTCGTAAGTTCGTTCTGACGGATTCTACAACGGTATCATTTAATTTAGGGTGTTTAAGCAGATAAATGGATAACACTAAACGCCGGGACAATGTTTTTGCAGAATCACTGGGCCTAAATATAGAAGGAACAATCTACATTCCGAAGCTTTCCATACCGATACGAAGTCCAGTGTTTGGCATTTACGCTGAAAGTCGGAGGGAGTACTTGCCACGCAACCAGATATTAAATTATTTATATCTCTAATTGCACATAAGTTCATGTTAAGCCACTGAACACCGAAAAGCCCAAGAGGTCAGTACAATATTCTTACTAACATTTCCTAGAGGTCCATTGAAGTGTAAAGAAAGATTTTCTCATTAATGGGAAAGGCGCCCTAACGTCTGCTTTGTCGCATGTCAGTGGGAAGTAATGAGGAATCTACCATTTACATTGCTTTGTGTTTTAAATGTTGCTGAACTGTCTACTTTTCGACTAAATACACTCTGGATTATCTATCTTCGCTTAAATTTTCAACACACCTTTTGCCTATCCCCAAATGTTTCCCATGTTCGCCTTTATTTCTATAAAAAGCCACACAACAACTGCAATGGATTTTAAAAATATCAAATTTTTGAAGAGATTTATTGAACTTGTTACACATACTATTATCATTCATTTCTGCAGCTACTGGATTCAATGAAGGTTGGCGGAATCTCATTACAGTTAACTTCAGTGTTGACTGCTATTGACGCAACATAGATCACTGTTATAGTCATTTGCTGTTCGGTGTCAATTTAGGTGGACAGTAGACTATTCATCTATTTGGGCGAAACGTAGACAGTTCAGCGACGAAAAATGGAAGTGTACTATTTCCTCATGACACTGGAAAGGAGACTAGCACGTTTCCTCATTATTTCTCTTATTTTCTATCGAGATGTTTCTTTTGTTTCCCCTATATTAGTTGCTTGGAGTGTACTTATTATATAGATCTCTCTTCCATTCAGTAAAGGTATATGCCTTTCGTACACGCTAATATGTACACTCTCCACCCAGCACACGAAGTACTGTCAAGCTAGGCAAGGACCTCTGCAACGCTTGTCCTGTCGAGTTGATTTATAAGTTCCTAGTTAAGTGATTATGGTTTTTCCGATGTTATACGTCTTCATAGCTTCGTTACATTCTCAGTAAATCCCTGATTTATAAGTTCCTGTCAGACGTCCGTTTGTAAAGACCTGAAATTAGTAATCCAATAAGGAAATCCATACCCATAAGAAATTTATATCCTCAGTTTAGTCGTAATGATGATTCATCACTTCGACTAGGTTAAACACAGAATCTTGTTAGCCAGACACTTCTTTGCAGCGCGAACGAAGAATTGTTAATAATTTATGTTATGACTACTTCATAATATAAACCACCAGTTATTTTGAGATAGTGGAGATTTGTAGCTCAGGTGGATGATATTGATGGAGTTTTGTTATCTGAGCTGAATAGCTTGGTTGTGGAACCTCTTCTGAACGACATCATCGACACAAACTTCAGGTAGAAATAAAATATTCAAATTTCTCTGCATATGGTTCACAGCTTGTGCTGTCGATCTCGATGTTGATTGGTCCTTTATGATCTCTTGTTACTGTATCTGATGGCCCAGAGTCTTCCCTCAGGTATTATATTTATTTACCACTAGTAATATGCCTTCACTCTACTCCACCATGATGATACATACACATTCTTACACTTGTAACTATGTAGAATGTACAATACTTTTGATTTCAAATATTACAGGTCGTAAGCAACTGGTTAGGACCTTACGGAATGGTTCTTAATTATTTATTTATTTACACATAGATAATGGTACAAAAGAGCACTGAATACTTATGTGCCACACAGGTCACTTGATTTGTGTGTGGGCTATGATACAGCCTGGGTGCCCAAACCGAAGCAAGTGGTTTTCTCAGGGGGGCACACCTGGAGCCTTCGACATGAAGGTCTGATCTACAATGGAGTGGAGCAACCTCAGGTGATGCAGTCCCATGACAGTCGGTGACCAACAATAGGTTCATACGTCATTTGTTCCTTCAGGATACTCGAGCCTATGTGCACCATTGGTTTGGAATCAGGTTTTTCCAACTCCCCTAGGTGGACTCCATGTCCACCGACCCAGTTAAGGTGCCGGACGTTCGCTTTTCGTCCTCTCAATTTCGTAAACAACACCTATGATTTTTCAGCACATGGTAAAGTGATACGCGGTCACCACCGAAACTTCAATTAAACGTGGACAATTAGGATATATGTTTCCTATTGGTAAGGTCGGAAGGCGATTTTACTTTCTCAATATCTATCTTTTGAACTCGTTCCAACGTATTCGTTCCATTTTCAGCATATAACCTGGCTTTATTTCTAAAGGTTTACTATGACATAAATCGGTTATCATGAGTAGAATATGCCTTTAATTGGGTCAGGAATAGGTTTACATTATAACTAACATAGATGGGAACCTTGTGTTTATGTTTCACAGTTGGCCTTTGGATTGAGGTCATCTGGACTCTTATAATTTATAATATTGTATATAGGCATTCCATTGATTTTAAAGTGGTGCGAGTCATTTTTACCAATATGTTACACAACTTTCTTCACAGTGTTTACTTTTAATGATAGTCGGTTCGCTAAAGATCGTCCATGTCACCATGTGAAATTTAATATTATACTGACTGACTTGTAAGCCTCGAAAGAAGATAGTTTCAGTAGTAGAATTTTAACAAACCGCACTCTCAGGTTGAAGTTCTTAGTAGGCGATTGTTGCTCTGTTTCTTTGACGTTTTGCACTGAGAATATTTTACTCTAGTCATTGTTCTGATGTACTTCTACTTCTTAGAAGATGAAGACATTAAAATCACTTACGAACTTCACTGACAGGTTTTACGAACAAATAATCAATGAAACTCATAGTGAGTTCATTCTGCTATAATGCTCCTACGAATGTTTTTAGGTCAATGGGAAAATGTTTTTCTCTCCCCGTTCAATATCTATACTGCTCTCGGAATGGTTCTTTCTGGCAGTGGAAACAATACGAAAGCCGAGATGATAAAGGCAATGCAATTGTCCGACTGTTTAGAACATGATAAAGTTCATTGTGAGATTGGCCAACTTCTCAATGATTGTTCAAAATCTAGTGAAGGTGTTAATATGATCCTTGCTAATAGATTGTTCGTTGCACAGAATGTGAGAATCAAGGAGCAGTTCAAAACTAATCTGAAGACATACTACGATGCTCCAACAGAACATGTAAGTTCTTGCTATTGGTTACCATTTTTTGCGCAAAGGTGGCATTTCAGACTGACATAGAAGGTTCTCGAAACCGGATAAACCAGTGGGTCAGTAAACAAACTAAAGGACAAATTCAAGAACTGCTTCCACCCGGTTTTTTAACAAAGGACACGTGTGCTGTAGTGACAGCCACTACATACTTCAAAGGTAAAGGAATATATAAATCTAACTGTGAATAATTATAAATTTCATTTTAAGTGCATACACTTTATATTTGTCTACATCATATCAGTTGAAAACATTTAACCTGTGTTTTTATTTAGGTTTGTGGAATATGTGTTTTCCTGAGGATAACTCACATGCTAGCGAGTTTTATGAATTGAATGGATCAAAAATGAGTGTGAAGTTGATGTATAACGAATCATTTTTCGATATGGTCAGTTTACCCCACTTAAAGTCACGTGCTGCAAAGATACCATTTAAAGACCCTAAGTGAGTAATAATATTTAAAGGATTGTTTTGTATTTTACTGCTTTATGATGTACCTTTTAGAAAACTAATGTGATAATTTTTAGTAGTAATCTAAATGAGAAACACTGATAGAAAATCACTCATAATTGTAGCATTTTGATTTCCCCACAGTATGTATCAATTTATTGAACACTTAAAATTGCGGTTTGAACGTGTAATGTACTAGTGGCTAGAAGGTGTGCTGCTTTTATCGTCTTTTCATTTAGTAAAGAGCTCGAACTAATAGACTAAATTTATAATTATTATGCATTTACAATTGATTGACCAATAAGTAGTGACCAGTTCCCTCAAGTATACAGGTACACGTTGCTAACAGTTGTCAAATAGCACGAAACCTAGGTCCAGGGTTTGTTGTTTATTACTTGTAACCACTGCCCTACTTATTTTAATGTATGTTATTATGCTGTCATACTTGTATTTCGGTATTCTAAGCACTAATAAAAACATTATTTATTCATATCTGTTCAACTAGTAAAGTGTTTTAACATCGCTATTGGTAGAAATACAGACCATTTCGACTCTCAACCACAAACTATTTTACACACATTTTAGTGATTTCTTAAGCTGTAAGGTCGAGATCAAGTGCAACCCAAATTAAGGGTACACATTTTATGCAGGGATTATAGGTAGTATATAATTACTGAAAATGTATAATGAGATATATTTGACTCTGCAATCCAGTGAATGAATACTTAACACATAGACCACTAGAAACAACTGCAAATAATGTTAGCTTAACAAAAGTTGATTCAATTTATGAAAAATAACTATCTGATGCACTTTGAAATCTGTAGGTGAAACTGGGTATGCTAGTATGAATACACTATGTTTTTATATTGACATTATTGAATGTATCCGTTTTTGTCTAATTATTCCTTGATATATTACTTTAGTATTCCTTCTTTTTCAAACACTTGGTTATCCAGGTTTACGTTATTGATTATTCTTCCAGATGCAAATGACGGATTGCCAGATTTACTGGATTCGATGTATAAACATGGTGGAATTTCTTCAATACTTTCCACGAGTTTTGAAAATACAAAATTGCGTTTGTATTTGCCTAAATTTAAATTAAGAGAAGGTAATGCAATAAAACTGAAAGATCATCTGCAGAAATTGGGAATAAACGATGCATTCTGTGATATATCAGCTGACTTTTCAAATATTTCTGACTCAGATAGGTTGTTTATTACAGATGTGATGCATAAAGCTATTTTTGAAGTAAGTCAATTAGATACATGTAGAAAACACATATTTTTGGGAATTGTTTTTATCTCAGATGATTATGTACCAGTTTTGAAGAGGTACCATTCATGAAGTAGTATGCTTCCTAATTCAATGTCAATTAATATCAATATTAACATAGGAATGATAAAGATCTTAGTCTAGGTTGGTGTATACTACTTTCATCGTAGAAATGAAAACATCACAGAGAAAATTTGTATGTTTGCCTGGATACAAAATTTCTGATTACCTCAAGGGCTTCACTATGGACTTTTGTCAAATTTATCAAAGTCTTTCCTATCTGAATCCCTGTTATAAAATGTTGTCATTGATTTTCTTGATAGAAGATTCTCTCTGGTTAATAGATTGACACAACAACACTCATCTCAATTTGATGTACTTCCAGAATACCATAGGTTTACCATCGAGTATATTCACTTGCCAACACAATTTGTGTTTATGTGGCGATCATTAAAACAAGGTCGAGTTTTTTTGTTTTTGAACTTTCATTAAAGACGAACCAAATAAGCAATAATTCTGATATAGGAATATTGGTCAAGATTAGAACGAATGGTTTGACAAAAATTGGGAGCCGAGTATCGAGGTCACATATAATGAATAATTCTGATATTTGATCATCCGAGTTAAGGAAGAATCTAATAAGCTGACTTGGAATTATCTGGATGCTATAGAGATATACTGATTAGTCAAAGTAATTACCACAATATTAATTAGCACTAATGGTAATGATTAAGTAATTCGAACTTAAGCGATGTATATTATAAAATGAACACTAAAACCGTAGTGCTTTATACTGTTGTTAGTCAGTCAGCTACAACGTAGGACCAGGTAAATATATGCATCACTCCAAGTTGCCATACCTCATTAGCACAGGTAGATGAACACCGAATTCATAGAAACAGTTAGTACAAAGGCTTCTGCTTATATCGGTTTTTTATTGATGACTTGAATTTGTATATACCTCACTATTTCTTTGATCTATCTATCTATCTATCCTTTAGCCTCTGCGTGACATGCGGGAAGAGGGTTGTCTCGATATATTTTAGAGTATTTAGTACTACCCTGAGATTTATAATAGGTCTGATTCATGACTAGATGGGTTTGAAGGAAAAAGTCTATTTCATCACTAACTTATCTGATAGGTTGGAAAGCGGAGAGAGGAAACGATCGAGCTGGAAATAACCATGGTTATTCCTCATCTGACGAACCGAACTGAAAATAGGTACATAAATAAATGACTAACACGATCACAACTCACGTGAGATACAATTATACTCAAAGAATGGCATTAAAATATGGAAATAGAATGCAAAGTGACTGAGATTACATTAATTTTGTTATAAAAATAATATTAGAGTAATTTTTATATCACATCACTACCTGTTGACATCGGGGCTGTTGTTTACAAAATTGGTAGACACGGAGAGTCTATCTTGGGAAGTTGGAAAACCCTGATTCCAAATCAATAGTGCACCTGCTTCGGTCTGGGCACCCGTGCAGTATCCGAGCGCTCACACAAATTAAATGATTTATCTTGCGCATATCTATTTGGTGCCTCCGTTTACCAATGTTTGTGTGTTTAAATAAATAAATAGAAAAACTAAGTGATATTATTTTGTGTATTTCGAATTATTCGAGACAGTATACAAATAGTATCTTTCATTGTTTGTCTCTGCTTATTTATTCTTTTGTTCACAAAATATGTACAGGTGGATGAAAAAGGTGCAGTGGCGGCTGCAGCTACGGCAGTAGAAGTAACAAATTGCTCATCTGTAAGACGTTCCAAACCTGTACCAGAATTTCGTGTTGATCATCCATTCTTTATTTCAATTGTTTGGAATAATTGTCTACCAATATTTCTTGGACATATTACATCACCATTGAATGACTAATAATAAGAAAACTTGATCATTTATTAGCTTACAAGAATGATTAAATTGCCTACTATTTATTTTGTTATTCATATATAGCTAGTAATAATTTTAATGGAAGAATTCATTTCACTTTTATTTCTGTGATCAGGTATTTTTTAAAAATGTTTAAATGATTTTTTAAATTTTTTTCTATAATATGACTTTTATGTTCACATGGTTACTGATTAGTAACTAATATAACTTCGTTCTGTTGTTCATCTCCGTAGTTTTTAAAATAACACATATATGTTGGTGGGTAATAATAAAGACCAGATCTATAGAATTACGTCATTGCCTGTAAAGATCGACTAGGTATTCAAATAGTATGAAAATAACACACACATGTACACCAGTGACAATTTTGAGACCACAATACTCAAATGCGACCATACGGATTGTTATTTTTGTGCCATTACGTGAAAATATGCTACCTGTTGTAAACATTTTGTAAGTTGATCCTATTGGCGATACCCCACAATCTCAACTCATTTTTGGTACATCAGTGATTTACATATATTTTTTATGATCAGATTTCTGAAATTGTTGCAATGAAAATGTAGGTGACAATTTGGATTGGATAGTTGATATAAATTGTTTTACATTATTTATTTATTATTCACAATTCAGTCCATTGATGTTGTTGTCTAATGAATAAGTGAGGAGGAAGTGTGAGTCGAAGTGGTCATATAAATATTTGTATATTCGCACTTGTATATTTTTTATGTATGATTCATATGAGAATTATCGATGTATGAATAGCAGTTATGAATGTGTAGCGTAAATACATAGTGACAGTTATGAAGTACACTTTAAATCTGATAAGTCGTAACGAAACACATAGCATGCTTGTATTCAGTTGACTTTTTCTGGACATCATGAGAATGATCATATATACATCGATTATTATCCACGAGAAACTCCATCTCGACTTCTCAATCCTACTACTTCTTATCAACAATGATGATTTTTTCCAAGCAGCTGCAATGAATTGGATTTCCCATATGTAGGCATTATTCTAGTAGTGATTAACTTGTAATCAGTGTTCGTAAACTTGAAATTAGAATTCAACATGCATGAGTCTGATACTTTTACTGATAAGAAATAATTTCAGGAGATCCTATATAATATTATAAGATGTACTTTGATTGATTTCAGAGCGATTACTGTGCTTACTTATTTACGCATGTTAATCGTCGTGAAGGAGCGTAGGTCGCCCATTATGATAATTGGGGTCTCCTATTTCTGCCTGTATACACATTATCTTCGGAACATAAAACTAAATTTAGTGTTAATCATATGTATTCGACCCAGCTTATCACTACTTTAATACTCAGCATGTCACAGTAATTCTTAAAGCTATTATTAGAGAAAGCTTTTCTCTTTCAGACGCACGAAGAACCACAGATACCTCTTAAGTTAAGGTTTATCACTAATTTTTATATATCATTCAATAAAATCTGTAGTAACACTCTCATGATTATTTTGAAGAACGGTTAATCCCTTTCATCTGACAGACGATGTCATCGACAGAGTAACAATTCGTTTATTTCCTTGAGTTGGAAGAAGCGCTATCATAGCCATGTCAATGTGTATATGTGGACGCTTGGTACACTCTACGCATATCGCTCTCTCACTCAAATCTAGCTTGATGTTTTATTCTCCTTCCCTCATATATATGTACTTGTACTTTAAAAACAAAGTGTGCTTTGATCTGTAGCGTCCCATTGTACTTGCTGTGCTGTCAAGGGTGATAGCGACATTCCAACATTTCTTCTTTTGTCCTCGTAAACGTCGAACATCCCGGAATCCAGGAATGGCCAGGCTTCTACTTTGGAACTGTCCAGGATACGTAAGGTTGAGTTACCCGACTGTATAACTGTCTGAAATGAGTCCATGACTCTTGCACTGATGCTCTTGAGTCAATTTCCAGTTTTCAGCCAATGCTGCGTAGTCCATTGCCTCGATACCTCCCTTCCATATGTTAGGACAGGCCAGCACATCTGTTTGACAGGCAATATCAGACATGAATTTGAACGGTGTGACTGCATGGCCACTTCTCCCTAGTGCTGGGAGGAAAGTCATTCGACCGACGTCATCACCTTGTGTGAAGACTACATACAAAAGAGAAGAGGGGTTTCGAAGTCATATCTTGTGGGATTTCTAATGTGTTGGAATAAAGCTAATACAATCGAGGTTTCAAACAGTTTGAAATCGATTGACGATATCGATCACCCTACTTTTAAGTTTACTCAGTTTATATACGGTGCATTAAAGTCGCCTACTACATGGCTTTTACCCCTATCACACCAGAACATAAGTTTGCTCAGGAGGAAATAATCTATTACACATTCTGGACTGCGGTATGCCACAACTAATCCAATATCTTGCCGTCTACATTTCAGCTTGCAACGCACCAGTTCACATGTCCCTGAAACATGTGCCCTTTTCTCAACTGCTCTTTTCGTTAGGGTACTTAACATGTACAGAATAACCCTGCCTCCCATACGGTTCAATCTATCAGCCCTACTGGGTAAAATACCAGTCAACTGAGTTTAATTCTCTAATACTTTTGACGTTAACCATGTTTCTGAGATGGCAATATAATCCTGTTTCTCTTTATCCATCATTGTCTTGAGCTCCGCCATTCTATTTATTAGGCTGCTAGCCTTTGTGTAGAATACCTTCAGTTTTGTGTAGAACTTTCCCTTATCACCATAGATTTGTCCTTTTCGAATAGCGCTCCGAATAATAATTTTATTTAAATCTAAAGATTTTAAAGAGGGATCGAATCCAGAGTACAATTCTGAAGCTCTAGGGTTTACCATACAAAGAGCGGCTTGAAAAGCTGAATCTGTTTACTCTGCTAGCATTTGTGTAGAATATCTTCAGTTTTGTGTAGAACTTCCCCTTATCACACAGAGTGGTTTAGGAATCCTTTTGCTTGGAAATTTCACAATTTGAAGACCCTTAATAAGTAGGTTTCTTTTACCGTTTCACTGGCATACGTTTATTTCAACTTGTCCAGCTCGTCTCTTAATACAACCAGCTAGGCTGAGGTCCTCACGAACGTATGCTCCGGATTCAATCACAATAAGTGAGTTACAAACTATTAGGTTTCTTTCTTCGACCGTAGCAAAGGTAAACTTCATGATGTGGATTATCTGAATACTTTTAGAATCCCCTTTTTGTTTTGTTCAATAAAGCTCACAGACGCTGACTCCTGAAAATGTTTCTGAGAGTAACTGGCTTAATAAGTACTTGATAAGACTGTGGTCGTGCTGAAATCTAGCCTTTGGTTCCTTGCCGGAATATCCTCTTAGCCGGTGAACAATGACTGACCTCTCTGTGAGGTTTGTCTTGACACGCTGTAGAACATTAGTTGCTGAAACCGTCTCTTCCTTGCAATCCGATTTCAGTTCAACGTTAAACGCAGATGTTACATTCTGTTTTCTTACTTTTTTCCGAGATGTGACTGTGAGCCTATCATTTACCTTTCTTTGTCTCTTGATCACTTCTTCTACACTGCTCTGACGTGGCTCCCCTATAGCTTTTATTGCATTGGTTTGTGGATCCGGAACTGGACCCTCAGGTTCATATGCGTCAGTACTGTTTGTAGGTAGTTTCTTCTAATCAGCAATCTTCTTCTTTCTCCTTGTAACAATGCCTACATTCATATGCTTATATGTTTCCCTGATGAGGTCCATCTTTATGGTATTATTTAAGTCTAGAGCTGGGCTCATAATAATGCTCTCAATTTCCCGGAAAGGAGAGTTCTGTCCATCTGCTGCTGCCTGATTATCAATCGACGATTTTCTAGTTGTGTTTAGCATCTCGATCACCTCTAGAATCAGCAGAGACTTGATAGAACAACATTCTTTATACGACGAACTTGATAATGGCTTGCAACACCGTTTATATGGAGCCGGTGTGAGTCCGGTGCACACATTGTGAAACTAATTGCTGAACTTACCACATGTCATTCCGTCATCGACCGGGAAATAGCATGCTTGTCTACCACAACAAAATGTTTCAATTGCGCCATAGATTTGTCCTTTTTGAATAGCGCTCCGAATAATAATTTTATTTAAATCTAAAGATTTTAAAGAGGGATCGAATCCAGAGTACAATTCTGAAGCTTCAGGGTTTACCATACAAAGAGCGGCTTGAAAAGCTGAATCTCTTTACTTTGTGTTATTGCAGACTAAAGGTAGATCCAATTTTAAAGAAATGATTTTGGACCTCACATATTCTCTCTTTGTGGTTTTATGACATGAATTAAAATTCAAGACAGACACCACTATTTCTCCAGATTTTACTATACAGTCGAAGATTTCTCCAGCAAAATCATTGGTTATTAAATGCCTCCGGTACATGAGAATCAATAAGTGAACTCTAAATAAGAAAGAATTAAATATCCGTTTGCAAGCTTTAAAATAACCATGAACAACAGACAATCGAAGGTCAACAACCATCAACTGAACCATGCTGAGGCCTTTAGTCAAACACGAGCTTGTTTTTGATGGCTCGTGAAAAGCCTACAGTAACCAAAGCTGAACATTAAAGCCCATACAAAGAAGACTGGAGAACATAAAGCGTGGATACGAGAGACGTGAGTAAAAGTTAAAATACAAAACAGGAGAAAAACAACATAACAATAATAAGGTAGAGAATGAACTGACTAGATCTTCAAGAAAGCACGCAGATGAACGGACAGTTCCACCAAACATGTACGAAACAATTAAGTCGATAGATATACTTTTATCTAGGTTATATGGACTACAGAATATACACAAACCGGATATCTCATTGAGACCAATTTTGGGCATGTGCGATTCCGTTTATCATAGTGTGACAGAATGGTTAGTAGTCATTTTAAATTATTCCACAAACATTTGACGAAACACAGTATTCCAGTTTGTCGTCAGGATCATAAACATAAACACTTGAGATCAAACGATGCCCTTTGACGAAACATTATTGTTCACAAATGTCCCACCCTGAGAGACTGTGGAATATATTCACGAGTAACTCAGATAACGAGAAATATAAACTACGATACCTGTAAAGATCATAATGGAATTATTATTACTTAAATGCACTACGAACGTACATTTCAAATTCAGTGGTCACATGCATAGACAAATAGATGGTATCTCGATGGGTTCAACCCTGAGTCCCATATTGACTGATATTTTTCTCGCCAAACTAGAAAATGACCCACTGGCACAAATTGACAAGTTTTGGTTTTGCTGCAGATATATGACGATACATTTATTTTTCGTCTTTCATGTTCACTTATTCATTTACCTAGTTTTTCATTTTTAAGCCTTGGCTGACCAGTCACTTGATCAGAAACGCGAAATCTGCACTTTATGGGTACAATTCTGATCAGGGACTCAATAGTTCAATCGGACTCAAAATACACCAGATCACTAGGAATAATTCCATCCAACGGATAAGGTACATTCATTTTCTGCAAACAGTAACTTTGAACCGTAGAGGCATTCAAACCTTTTTGCTCATGTTACGTTGTCAATAATACATTATAGATGCTCAGTGTTTGACAACACTTCTGCGTAAATGTGGTATCCGAACGAACTAATTATTCTTTTGTACTTGTTGAATGCTCGATTTCGTATTCTTGATACAATACATCAGTTTGTGCTTATCTAGTTCTCTTTATACGATTGCATTATTTCTGGAACTCTTAGTTCATACTATATTTCAAATAAGTTGAAACACGATATTGGCGTCGCGATGGAGCCTGAGATTGAAAAGTTAGATATTCAATCAACTTCTGAAGCTGTTGAGGACTATTTGGAACGGTTTGAAATCTGGAGTATGTCCAAGAAAGATGTTAAATGTTATAAAATTGTGGCACATTTCCTGACATTCATTGGGAAAGAAGCGTACAGCTTATTAAAACTTTGGCATATCCAGAAAAACGTATCTCACTTCCTTATGCAACTCTTAAGGAACTATTATTAAATCATGTGAAGTGTACTAGTTTTGAATGCCATGAAAGTGCAGGGTGATACAGTCTTTCTTAAAAGACGAATAATTGCTTATGGTCTTCGAAAAGCAGTACAGAAGACAATAAACGATTTGTGTGCGAAAGGTATAATTGAACCTATTTAGCATTCAGCATGGGGTACTCCTATTGCTACGCCACTGATGTCGGATGCCAAGACCCATAGAATATGTGGTGACTATAGATTAACACTGAATTCTCGTTTGTTGAAGCAAACGTGCACGACGGTACAGGCTGGAGATATTCTTAATCCATTCCATGGTTCTAAAGTGTTTTCGTAAGTTGACCTAAAAGATGTTTATCTCCAAATCCCTCTAGATCAATCTTCATCCATTTTGACGACAATTAACACTTCTTTTGGTTTGTTCAAACACAATTTCCTTCCATTTAGTTTAAGTTGTTCTGCAGCCATATTTCAGGAAGTTGTGAATGAAGTAGTTAGTCTTCAAAAAATCTTACGGAACTACGTTCATTAATGGGTGCTCTTCAATACTATTCCCGTTTTATTACTAATTTTTCATGTCGTGCAAATTGTTTACTTAATATTTTGATATCCAGTCCATCCAAATGGAGTGAGGAACAACAGTCATGCTTACGAAGTCTACCAAATTTTTTTCAAAGTGGTGCTGTTCTTCGAACTTACTCCCCTAATGCACATTCTGTGCTTATAACTGATGCATCACCTGTGGGGAATGGTGCAGTTTTGGAACAGGAAGGTAGACCAGTTGTTTTTGTTTCACACAAACTTACTGTTAATGAACAAGGTTATTCATGGTCTCAGCGAGGAGCATTAGCTGTGTTTTGGGCTTTTAAAAGACTTCATAAAGATATATTCGGAAAGAAATTCACTACTCTTACCGATCATGAAGCTTTAAAGTTTATTCATCATCCTGAAAAATCCTTAGCAATTTCCTCAACTGCTATGGTTCAACGATGGAGTATTGCTTCGAGTTTATATGACTATACGGTTCAGCACAGAAGTGCCGAACAAATTCAACACATTCTCGACAGTCATTACAAGATAGACCTGTTAATAATTTGGACTGTTTGATACTGCAGCCTTTACAAGTGAGACCTTCAGATCTCATTAGAGATACTCGTAGATACTTTGGATGTATACTCAGTGCTATACGGAAAGGCTGGAATGCTAATCTGAAACGTAGATTTCCTATCTATTTTTCAGAGCGGAATGAGCTATCCACTACTCTTGATGGTATTTTGTGTTTAAATGATCGTGTTGTCATTCCTCATTCATTGAGTAAATCTGTTCCTGATGATCTTAATTTAGTTGTTGAGAATATGAAGTCCTTGGAAAGGCTCGCATGTTGGTGGCCAGAGACGAATGCAGATATATGTCGTACGGCAAACAATTGTGAAAACTGTCATCGGTTGAAAACCCAGCCTTCGAAGGGGATGCCATGTCCAGTATCGTCTGAGGCCTGACAGAGAATTCATGCTGACTACTGTGGTTCGTTTCTTGGTAAATGCTATGCACTAGTATTTAATGATTCTTTATACAAGTGGCCTGAAGTTTTCTCACAACTTCACCAAATCCTGATTTCACAATCCAAACATTAAGAAAGGTGTTTAGTCGAGAAGGGGTTCCTAAGGTGTTAGTGACTTATAATGACTCTCATTTCGCTGCAAATGTAGTCACCACCTTATCGAATGGTATAGTGTGCAAATATCTGTTTACCGTTCCCAGACATCCGTGTTCTAATGACCAGGCAGAAAATGTAGTCGGGACATTAAAAAGACTGGAGAGTAGAGTAGATACCCTTCTATCGTAATATAGAAATACCAGACATTCGGTGACGGAAGAGTGTCCAGCAAAGCTATTGAGAGGAAGAATTCTTCGGTCGAATATGAGATGTTTGGAGTCTGCAGAAGTTGCATACTATCGAGGAAACGATCTTCGACCATCTACGGGTATTGTTCTGAAGAATGTCGGAAAATCGATAGTGCGAATTCTTGATATCACTGACTAAAGTACACACAGTTGACATGTTGATCAAATACGATTTCAGGAACCAGGCGTGTCAGTTCCAATTCCGATTGTTAATTCTAATACTAACGAGTACATCCTAGATAACCCAGAGTCATTGTCCAATACACTGTCCGACAGTCACAGAATGAATTTTAAGAAGACGTACAATTGATTACAAACACCTACACTCCAATTTAAGCTGTGGCGGATGTGGTGTTTGAACGAACTCATGATTCTTTTGTACATGTTGAATACTCGATTTCGAATTCTGGATACATTCATTTTGTGCTCATCTTTTTTTCATTTTATTCGATTGCGTTATTTATGGGACTCTTAGTTCATACTATAATTCAAATGAGCTGAAACACAATAGTAAAATATCCCGTACAACATTCATAGGCCTGACGAAACTAGAATTATTAGGTATTGTGAGACGAAGATACATTTAAATAAAGGAATGTAAGCCATCTAGTTGTTTAATCAAATGAGCGGAACATATCGAAAAATTAATGAGCTGAACTTGTATTTAAAGAAATCATTAACGGCAGCCATCATTATCATAAGGCTGCGCACCAATTCATTTCAGCTATTAGTTTTCCAGGGTCGAAATATTGGGCATTGTATGGTACTAGCTATTAACAATATTTGAACTGTGACGTAACTCATTCGGAACTTTAGAATGTCAACTTGTCTCGATTGTTAGATTGTCTTGTCCTCACGTTTGTGTTATTTCTAATTGTTGCCGATTCTCTTCTCCTGACGCTACACTAGCACACAATCCACTTGCAGACTAAATGTAAACTTGTTGAAAACTGAATATTATAGTTCTTTAACTATTTTATGGGCTCATGTTAATACTTCGAGCCGTTGTTTTCCTGATCTCGAGCCTTTTCTTTTCCGAGTTTTTATCATAATTACACTTTTGATCAACGGAACCACATGGTCTGCAGACCGTTCTCCAAGCACTCAATTAAGTGGAAATAATTGATAAAGGTGCCCTATTATCTACTTTGTCGCCTGTCAGAGAGAATTAATGCAAACTTCACCATTTACGTTGCTTTGTGTCTTAAATGTTGCTGAACTGTCTGCTTTTCGTCTAAATACTCTTCGGATTATCACCTTGAATTTTCAACACACCTTTTGTCTATCCCCAAATGTCTCCCATGTTCGCCTTTATTTGCATAAAAGGCCACACGACAACTGCAATTGTTGTTAAAAATATCAGATTTTTAAAGAAATTTATTGAACTTGTTACACCTGCCATTATCGTTGATTGTTGCAGCTACTGGATTCAATGAAGGTTGGCGGAATCTCATTACAATTAACTTTATTGTTGACTGCTATTGACGCAACATAGATCACTGTTATAGTCATTTGCCGTTCGGTGTCAATTTAGGTGAACAGTAGACTATGCGTCATATAATTGGGTCAAAGGTAGACAACAGAAACATTTTAAACGTTAAGCGTAAAGTAGATGGCCTTTGTTTAACGAAACATGGTAATGCCATGATTTTTCAGTATACCGTAAAGTGATATACGGTTACCACCGAAACTTCAATAAAACGTGGACGATTAGAATATATGTTTCCTATTGGTAAGGTCGGAAGGCGATTTTACTTTCTCAATATCTATCTTTTGAACTCGTTCCAACGTATTCGTTCCATTTTTAGCATATAATCTGGCTTTATTTTTAAAGGTTTACTATGACATAAATCGGTTATCATGAGTAGAATATGCCTTTAATTGGGTCAGTAATAGGTTTACATTATAACCAACATAGATGGGAACCTTGAGTTTATGTTTCACAGTTGGCCTTTGGATTGAGGTCATCTGGACTCTTATAATTTATATTCTTGTATTATAGGCATTCCATTGATTTTAAAGTGGTGCGAGTCATTTTTACCAATATGTTACACAACTTTCTTCACAGTGTTTACTTTTAATGATAGTCGGTTCGCTAAAGATCGTCCATGTCACCATTTGGAATTTAATATTGTACTAACTGGCTTGTAAGCATCAAAAGAAGATAGTTGCAGTAGTAGAGTTTTAACAAACCACACTCTGAGGTTGAAGTTCTTAATAGGCGATTGTTGCTCTGTTTCTTTGACGTTTTGCACTGAGAATATTTCACTCTAGTCATTGTTCTGATGTACTTCTACTTCTTAGAAGATGGAGACATTAAAATCACTTACGAACTTCACTGACAGGTTTTACGAACAAATAATCAATGAAACTCATAGTGAGTTCATTCTGCTCTAATGCTCCTACGAATGTTTAGGTCAATGGGAAAATGTTTTTCTCTCTCCGTTCAATATCTATACTGCCCTCGGAATAGTTCTTTCTGGCAGTGGAAACAATACGAAAGCCGAGATGATAAAGGCAATGCAACTGTCCGACTGTTTAGAACATGATAAAGTTCATCGTGAGATTGGTCAACTTCTCAATGATTGTTCGAAATCTAGTGAAGGTGTTAATATGATCCTTGCTAATAGATTGTTCGTTGCACAAAATGTGAGAATCAAGGAGCAGTTCAAAACTAATCTGAAGACATACTACGATGCTCCAACAGAACATGTAAGTTCTTGCTATTGGTTACCATTTTTTGCGCAAAGGTGGCATTTCAGACTGACATAGAAGGTTCTCGAAACCGGATAAACCAGTGGGTCAGTAAACAAACTAAAGGACAAATTCAAGAACTGCTTCCACCCGGTTTTTTAACAAAGGACACGTGTGCTGTAGTGACAGCCACTACATACTTCAAAGGTAAAGGAATATATAAATCTAACTGTGAATAATTATAAATTTCATTTTAAGTGCATACACTTTATATTTGTCTACATCATATCAGTTGAAAACATTTAACCAGTATTGTTATTTAGGTTTGTGGAATATGTGTTTTCCTGAGGATAACTCACATACTAGCGAGTTTTATGAATTGAATGGATCAAAAATGAGTGTGAAGTTGATGTATAACGAATCATTTTTCGATATGGTCAGTTTACCCCACTTAAAGTCACGTGCTGCAAAGATACCATTTAAAGACCCTAAGTGAGTAATAATATTTAAAGGATTGTTTTGTATTTTACTGCTTTATGATGTACCTTTTAGAAAACTAATGTGATAATTTTTAGTAGTAATCTAAATGAGAAACACTGATAGAAAACCACTTATAATGGTTAGAGACCCTGAATGACATGGCTCAAAATCGTTTGCAATGGCGCAGGTGCATCCACTCTTTGTGTTCTCCCAAATTCTAATCTTCTGAATCCTTCATGTTCCTTTTTTCCTCTTTCCAAATTTATTTCACTGAATTATACTCTTTAAATAACATCTCCAAACCCTAATCTTCCCGAACACTGCTTACACTCTTGCTACCTCTACCACTACGGGATTTGGATCGACAGCTGCATCTCTGTGTTAAGGTGGTGTGGCAACTCGAACTGATGTACGTACGTACGAAGTTCTACGTTGTTACTGACTGACTGACTGGATAATTGTAGCATTTTGATTTCCCCATAGTATGTATCAATTTATTGAACACTTAAAATTGAGGTTTGAACGTGTAATGTACTAGTTGTTAGAAGGTGTGCTGCTTTTATCGTCTTTTCATTTAGTGAAGAGCTCGAACTAATAGACTAAATTTATAATTATTATGCATTTACAATTGATTGACCAATAAGTTATGACCAGTTCCCTCAAGTATACAGGTACACCTTGCTAACAGTTGTCAAATAGCACGAAACCTAGGTCCAGGGTTTGTTGTTTATTACTTGTAACCACTGCCCTACTTATTTTAATGTATGTTATTATGCTGTCATACTTGTATTTCGGTATTCTAAGCACTAATAAAAACATTATTTATTCATATCTGTTCAACTAGTAAAGTGTTTTAACATCGCTATTGGTAGAAATACAGACCATTTCGACTCTCAACCACAAACTATTTTACACACATTTCAGCGATTTCTTAAGCTGTAAGGTGGAGATCAAGTGCAACCCAATTGAAATGTAAATTCTTAAACCAAAATTAAAGGTACAGATTTTATGCAGGGATTATAGGTAGTATATAATTACTGAAAATGTATAATGAGATATATTTGACTCTGCAATACAATGAATGAATACTTAACATATAGACCACTAGAAGCAACTCCAAATAATGTTAGCTTAACCAAAGTTGATTCAATTTATGAAAAATAACTATCTGATGCACTTTGAAATCTGTAGGTGAAACTGGGTATGCTAGTATGAATACACCATGTTTTTATATTGACATTATTGAATGTATCCGTTTTTGTCTAATTATTCCTTGATATATTACTTTAGTATTCCTTTTTTTTCAAACAATTGGTTATCCAGGTTTACTTTATTGATCGTTCTTCCAGATGCAAATGACGGATTGCCAGATTTACTGGATTCGATGTATAAACATGGTGGAATTTCTTCAATACTTTCCACGAGTTTTGAAAATACAAAATTGCGTTTGTATTTGCCTAAATTTAAATTAAGAGAAGGTAATGCAATAAAACTGAAAGATCATCTGCAGAAATTGGGAATAAACGATGCATTCTGTGATTTGTCAGCTGACTTTTCAAATATTTCTGACTCAGATAGGTTGTTTATTTCAGATGTGATACATAAAGCTATTTTTGAAGTAAGTCAATTAGATATATGTAGAAAACACATATTTTTGGGAATTGTTTTTATCTCAGATGATTATGTACCAGTTTTGAGGAGGTACGATTGTTCCAGTTTCTTTAATATTCATTGGCTATTTGTAAATGTAGTTGAATATGTAATATACAATTATGTTATCAGTTCTGGCTATTAGTAATACATTTTCATAGTTGCATAATTTCTTGAATCCCGTGACGATTGACAAATGTTAACTGAAATCATGTGCAATTTATAGCACATCATTTGATTATAAATATAAACGTACATATTTGCATTTCTTTTTATATTCAATACTACTAAATAATTACAAAAATGAGAGAAATTTGTATGTTATGCACAAATTGTGCACAAGTCACTCGAGTTTTTGGAAAAATCGATTGATTAAGATTAAACTTGTTGTTTCGTAAAACAGCAGATAACATCAATATTTCATTCACTGTGTTCATACATAATACTGTACATCTTACCGAGTCGATGGTTGTCTGCTCGAAGTCATATTTGAACGTGAGCTAGGACTGATCTTGCCCTATATCCCTGAAGTAGTATGCTTAATAATTTAATGTAAACTAATCTATCAGTAGTGCTTTATACTGTTGTTAGTCAGTCAGCTACAACGTAGGACCAGGTACATATATGCATCACTCCAAGTTGCCATACCTCATTAGCACAGGTAGATGAACACCGGATTCATAGAAGTGGTTAGTACAAAGGCTTCTGCTTATATCGGTTTTTTATTGATGACTTGAATTTGTATATACCTCACTATTTCTTTGATCTATCTATCTATCCTTTAGTCTCTGCATGACATGCGGGAAGAGGGTTGTCTCGATATATTTTAGAGTATTTAGTACTACCCTGAGATTTATAATAGGTCTGATTCATGACTAGATGGGTTTGAAGGAAAAAGTCTATTTCATCACTAACTTATCTGATAGGTTGGAAAGCGGAGAGAGGAAACGATCGAGCTGGAAATAACCATGGTTATTCCTCATCTGACGAACCGAACTGAAAATAGGTACCATAAATAAATGACTAATACGATCACAACTCACGTGAGATACAATTATATTCAAAGAATGGTATTAAAATATGGAAATAGAATGCAAAGTGACTGAGATTACATTAATTTTGTTATAAAAACAATATTAGAGTAATTTTTACGTCACACCACTACCTGTTGACGTCGGGGCTGTTGTTTACAAAATTGGTAGACACGGTGAGTCCATCTAGGTGAGTTGGAAAACACTGATTCCAAACCAATGGTGCACATGGGCTCCAGGATCCTAAGGAAACAAATGCCGTATGAACCTATTGTTGGTCATCGCCTAACTCCTGATGTGACCCTCTAAGAAAACTGCCTGCTTCGGTCTGGGCGCCCGGGCAGTATCCCAACCCTCACACAAATTAAATGATTTATCCTTCGCATATCTATTTGGTGCCTCTTTTTACCAATGTTTGTGTGTTTAAATAAATAAATAGAAAGACTAAGAGATATTATTTTGTGTATTTTGAATTATTCGAGACAGTATACAAATAGTATCTTTCATTGTTTGTCTCTGCTTATTTATTCTTTTGTTCACAAAATATGTATAGGTGGATGAAAAAGGTGCAGTGGCGGCTGCAGCTACAGCAACACAAATGGTATTCTGCACATCTATAAGACCTCACAAACCTGTACCAGAATTTCGTGTTGATCATCCATTCTTTATTTCAATTGTTTGGAATAATTGTCTACCAATATTTCTTGGACATATTACATCACCATTGAATGACTAATAATAAGAAAACTTGATCATTTATTAGCTTACGAGAATGATTAAATTGCCTACTATTTATTTTGTTATTCATATATAACTAGTAATAATTTTAATGAAAGAATTCATATAACTTTTATTTCTGTGATCAGGTATTTTTCTAAAATGTTTAAATGATTTTTTAAACTTTTCTATAATATGACTTTTATGTTCACATGGTTTCTGATTAGTAACTAATATAACTTCGTTCTGTTGTTCATTTCCGTAGTTTTTAAAATAACACATATATGTTGGTGGGTAATAATAAAGACTAGATCTATAGAATTACGTCATTGCCTGTAAAGATCGACTAGGTATTCAAATAGTATGAAAATAACACACACATGTACACCAGTGACAATTTTGAGACCACAATACTCAAATGCGACCATACGGATTGTTATTTTTGTGCCATTACGTGAAAATATGCTACCTGTTGTAAACATTTTGTAAGTTGATCCTATTGGCGATACCCCACAATCTCAACTCATTTTTGGTACATCAGTGATTTACATATATTTTTTATGATCAGATTTCTGAAATTGTTGCAATGAAAATGTAGGTGACAATTTGGATTGGATAGTTGATATAAATTGTTTTACATTATTTATTTATTATTCACAATTCAGTCCATTGATGTTGTTGTCTAATGAATAAGTGAGGAGGAAGTGTGAGTCGAAGTGGTCATATAAATATTTGTATATTCGCACTTGTATATTTATTATGTAGGATTCACATGAAAATTATCGATGTATGAATAGCAGTTATGAATGTGTAGCGTAAATACATAGTGACAGTTATGAAGTACACTTTAAATCTGATAAGTCGTAACGAAACACATAGCATGCTTGTATTCAGTTGACTTTTTCTGGACATCATGAGAATGATCATATATACATCGATTATTATCCACGAGAAACTCCATCTCGACTTCTCAATCCTACTACTTCTTATCAACAATGATGATTTTTTCCAAGCAGCTGCAATGAATTGGATTTCCCATATGTAGGCATTATTCTAGTAGTGATTAACTTGTAATCAGTGTTCGTAAACTTGAAATTAGAATTCAACATGCATGAGTCTGATACTTTTACTGATAAGAAATAATTTCAGGAGATCCTATATAATATTATGAGATATACTTTGATTGATTTCAGAGCGATTACTGTGCTTACTTATTTACGCATGTTAATCGTCGTGAAGGAGCGTAGGTCGCCCATTATGATGACTGAGGTTTCCTAATTCTGCCTGTATACACGTTATCTTCGGAACATTAACGTACTATAAAACCAAGTTTCCAAACGTCATGAATTGACTCTCATAGTATTCAATCCATTTGTGATTAGATTTTCACCAATTTGTGCTTATAATTGGTATTATTTCGAATACATATAGTGAATGTACACTGTAGTAACATTTCACTAACGTTTCTCAATCATTCAGTAACAACGTAGAATTTCGTACGTACGTACATCAGTTCGAGTTGCCACACCACATTAGCACAGAGATGCCGTGGTCGATTCAAATCCCGTAGTGGTAGAGGTAATAAGAGTATAAGCAGTAATCGGAAAGATTAGTGTTTGGAGATGTTACTTAAAGAGTACAATACAGTGAAATAAACTTGGGAAGAGAAAAAAAAAGAGACAAGGGGGAATCAGGAGATCAAAATTTGGGAGAACACAAATAGTGGATGCACATGCGCCATTGCAAACGATTTTGAGCCATGTCATTCAAGGTCTCTAACCATCGGTTGCTATCATCTCGCGGTCCCCAACCAGGTAGTCTACACCTACCAACATGACTCAGACCACTTGTCAGTGACTTCATGGACTTGTGCCATGTCTTGGTCTGGCCGCCCCTAGCTTTCTTCCAACCTACTCCTATACCACTGAACATCGCACTAAAGTTTCTAACTGGTGTCTTCAAAGTCTACGGTTGATGTAACGTGATAAACATATGACATGTTATTTTCATAAATTCAAATATATATGTAATGTTAAGCAAGTCTAGTCGACCAAGATTATCACTACTAAAATGCTCAGTCCATACTTGTAAAACGGATAAGAGGGTTCAAGGAAAAATGAACACTCGTCCTACGTGAGTTGTGATAAATTAGCCAATGCACAAGTCAAGCGATTCATTGCTTCATATCTCAGATCATGTATGGAATGCACTGAATTCTTTAAAACAAATAATCGGGATTATTATGATAATGGGTTTCGAAATGGCCTGAGACTGGTGAAATCCCAAAACATTTATTCGGATGTTCCGTTTCTACGAAAACAATCATCTGCTGTCATTTATGGAATCAATTACATTTCTCCATGTATAAACACTGTGGTCCGTGATGTTACGAGAACTTTCTTAATTGAGGCTTCCACTTCTAGTCTTCATCTACCGAGTTCTCGTAATGACTTATATTTCTATTGATAATTTACACACACAGTGTATGTTGAAATTTAATTACGTTGTGTAAATCAATTCTCTTCACCTAAACACTTTTATTTATTGCTTTATACTACTACTACTTAATAATAATCAGTAGACAGTTGAATTGGTAGGAAAATCTGTAGTAGCACTCACATGATTATTTTGGATAACGGTTAATCCCTGTCAATCCATTTCATCTGACAGATAATGTTATCGACAGAGTAATAATCCGTTTATTTTCTTCAGTTGGAAGAATCGCTATCATAAATACTTAAACGTGTATATTTGAACGCTTGGCACAGCCTACGTATATTGCTCTCTCACTCAAACCATGATCTCGTAAATCTAGCTCCATGTATTATTCTCCTTCCCTCAAATATATGTGCTTGTATTATAAAAACAAGTGTAATGTACCTTGATTCGACGTGCTTTTATTTGGTATTACTATAAATTTGCCTATATATTCGCTCTCAATGATTCCTTAGCTTTTATCGCTTCAAATCCACTTGATGTGTTTGTAATTCTGTGGTCCGCGCAATCACCTGATAAGTTGTAGTCTCAGCATCTTATCGCCTTCTCAATTCAGTCCTGTTGAGTTCCGTAATACTGGTTATCAGGTTGAAAATTTAACGAAACTACACGCACTACAATAACTACTCCTTACACCAATCGCTATTATGTGAACTTCGCTTCCACGTGTATCTCATTTGCGTAATTAGACGCTTTGTTTGATTCAATAATGTATTTATCAGTAAATGTGGCTCAATTCTCCCAATCCACGTAAAGCTCTTCTTCATGGGTACTACTTATTTCCAGATGACATGTGCCATTGCAGATTTAAGAGTAAATAGTACAGGTAATGTAAGAATATAAACAATATTCTACGAGTTGTATTATTTTTATTCTAAACAAGATTTGGATTTATGACAACACACTCTCCCTCCAGTTATCGACTTAGTTGAATTGACATTAATGGTAATATTTGCAATGAACCCAGAATATAGATCACACCATCTCGGATCGTGCTGTAAATAAGAAGAAATTGAAAATTCAAAATAAGTCTTGAATTTGCAAATCGATTAGTTGAAATGTAACATTTGAGTCACTATTACTGCAAATTCCACACTGAATATTTAGCTGAAAAGCCCAATGAATCTGAACTTAAACGTTTCTTGTCTTCTACAACTAACAAGTCGACTGAGAGTTGGATGATTCTTGAATATATTGTAGAAGTAGAAATGAGATATGAGATGAGTAGGCGATCGGCACCAGTCAATTGCTTCATCTTATTTCAACACAAGGTGAATTATGTTGGATACAAAACGAATATAAGAATCATTAGTATAAACAGATGACCACGTGCATCAGCGATTGTCAACCAGAGCTGCATTCAATTCTGTCACATAACGTTATCAGTTGTCAACCATCCAGTCTAAATCTGAGATGATCAGATTTATAAACTCGATGAAATTTCATCTTAAAATGAAGGACATTTACATAATTAACACAGAAAGATGATATAAGTCTATAATCGAACTGAATGGTATTACTGAGAGTTTAGTAAGACTTTATTGTGTATACAGATTGATTGAGGATGGCAATACATCATTATTTAATTTATATGAGTGAATGACGTTGAAATCAGGTCTACCACTAAGCAAATTTGGACTAATGCTAATACTAAAATTCTCTCTCATATTTACATGTTTAATTGAAATGTACAACGCATGTGAAACTTACAATTTCATATGTATAAAGGTTACACTGAGGATAAAATCGACATTCAATAAAGCAGTCTGATTTCGCTTCAACCGTTTCCAACCAGTAGTCTTCTACAAGCGACAGCATTGGTATTCCCAATGTGCACATCCATTGTGAGTAGTTGCAATGCATATTTGTATTACATTCCTGACACTCCTCACATGATGATAACAGTGTAAAATTATGTGCCACATTTGTTTGTGTGTGAAAGCAATCGAAAAGAATAACTGAAATGTATGCAGTGATAATGAGCGAACGTTCAATCATTTGGTGTAACATGATAGGCATATGAAATGAAGTATTGTTCGACAATAATAATCACTTTCTCATAACTACTACTACTACTGCTACTACTACTACTACTATTACTACTACTACTGCTGCTGCTGTTTATATAGTGGAGATGAATCAATTGATTGGTGGAATTTTCAATATCCACAATCTGACCAATTGGTTAACTGCTCATAGTAAATTCCTGACCAGTTGGATAAATGCAAACTTTACCATACTACACTCAATCACAATTTGAAATGATCAATGAATATAAAATGAAGCAGATTAGATGACAGCTCTCAAGTTATATTGTTTGTAATGAAGTTTGTAATGCAATCAGACTTTTAGCCATTAAATCTAACGAATAATATTTCATCCATCACCATATTTCCTTAGACATTCACATGTGTTCTGAAGTTTGATCAAATATTCTTCAGTCTGTTAGCAACAACATACAACCAGTTCAAGTTATCATACCAAATTAGCACATAGATACTGTTGTCGATTCTAATCACATAGTGGTCGAGGTAGAAGAATTGTAAGCAGTAATCGGAAACATTAGGGTTTGAATATGTTATTCAAGGAGTATAATCCACAGAAATATATTTGGAAAGAAAAAAATCAAAGGACATGAAGAATTGAGAAGACAAGAATTTCGGAGAACACAAACAGTGGTTGCACCTGTGCCATTGCATTGCAAACGATGTTGAGGCATGCCGTTCAAGGTTTCCAATCATCGATTGCTATCGTCTCACG